TATTATTATTATTATTATTATTATTATTATTATTATTATTATTATTAGACCTTTATACAGGTTAGTTCCCAATGAGCCTCGAAGACTCATTTATAAGACCTATAGTATCATAATATTCTCCATGAATTGTGAAACTGATGGAGGCTCATCAACCCAAGTTTGCATTAATCGCTAAAACAAACTAAAGATTGGCGTTGCTTTAAGACAACTGCGGTCCACTTTGGTTTTTGGTCATGTCAGACCAGTCAGAACTAAATTTACTTCTCTAAAATAGGGTTGTTCATAAGATATTAAAGGGATAGTCTGGTGATTTTTTAGGTGATATTCTATCAAATAGTTGTCAGTAGTTATGAAGGTTGACATCAGTCACAGAACATTGTGTAAAAAGAAAAATGGTATTTAGGCTAGGCTAATGACTAACCATGTGGACACACTGTTTATATTGTTCTTTGATAACTATTTGACCAGACATCACCAGACTATCTCTTTAACAAATGTCCAGGGAGAAAATTCTACCACCTTACATAACTGCAGCAAAATACCATTTATTGTCTATTTAACTTTTTAAACAAAACTCCACAATTATTATTATTATTTTGCAAAAGATTTTTAGGGTTTGTCAGGATTTGTTGTATTTTGGGTGGCACGGTTGTGCAGTTGGTAGAGCTGTCGCTTCTCAGCAAGAAGGTTGCCGGATCGAATCCCAGCCGGGGTGCAGTTTGCATGTTCTCTCCGTGCTGCATGGGTTTTCTACGGGTACTCCGGTTTCCTCCCACAGACCAAAAACACAACACACACAAAATAAAAGCAGAACAATATAAACGTGTAGAGGCCCAGTTTACCCAAAGCCCTTTTTGACTTAAATTGCAGCTTTTCTGCTGCAGTTCGGTCATTTGTGGACACAACAACAGTTTTTTTTTTTTTTTCCCTGAAACCAAAGCTTTTTGAATCCAGATCTTGAAAAAAGGTTTTTGGAAAGTCCCAGGAGTGAAATCTCTGTGTGCTCTACCTGCAGCTATCAATAGATTTTCTGCACTTGCACAAATAGATGAACAACAGTAACAATGTTTTGCAGAGTGCTGTTTGCACTGCTCACTTTTTTCCAACATGTATGAGCAAAACGACCTCATCCTGGGTCCAAACAAACGTTACTTTACTCAGAATTGTGAATGTAACTGTTTTCTTGTTTGAAACTGCATCACGTCTCATTGAAAGCCAGCACCAGTGAGTGACCTGGCATCAGTGATGACAGATATATGAAAATATCTGTTCTTACAGGATAGTTTTAGGGTCATGTTGGCCAATCACAACCCTGCCCCCATCAGAGAAAGCACACCCTCACTCAGACAGCTCTTTTACAGTTACTGATGCATATGCTCAAAGTCATTATTTAGCGATGCTTTGTGTCTACATGGATTAATGCCTCTGGTTAATATCAATACACTTGGACTAAACGGAGTTCATATCTAGCTGTGTTTCAGCTGTTCTTAACAGTCAATCAGACACTCTACAACGTTAATATCCAACAATGTTCAGTCAGGTCACCTGGATGGTTTCTTTTTTTGTGCTGAGACATTTCACCCTCCGTCCAGAAGGTTTCAGTCTGAAGAAACACCAGTAGGGGGAGAAGCAGTTTTGTTTGGTGTTTCCTCAGACTGATGAAGCCTTCTGGATGGAGGGTGAAACGTCTCAGCACAAAAACAAAAAAACATCCAGATGACCTGACTGAATTGTTGGACTTTATACCTGGATTACTGAGCATGGACTGTGGTGGTAATGTTAATAGTTCAAGTTCAAATTATGTCTATTTGTCATATGCAGGTCAACAGTACAATGAAATGCTCAGGATGAGAAGAACCGATGTGACTCACTAAAAAAACAAACAAACAAGAAATGCAATAAGGGTACAAGAATAAAGTACCAAAAAGTGAAAACGTAAAATATAATATTTACAAGGTACTAAAGAGAGATAGTAAACAACAACATGGTAGACCAGGGCTATTCAACTAAACTGCTCAGGGGGCCGCAGTTTCTGAGAGCCAACAGCTCGGGGTCAGACATCCAGTGATTAAAATCATTATATAAATAAATCAAAGTTTAAAATTATCTGTTACTTTTTAAACATGTTTATTTTATTGCATTGAACCATAATGCAATAACCAGAACACAAAACCCAAACCCAAACCCCCTCCCAAAAAAAGAAAAAAATATGACATGGGTTGGCTTGAAGTCACCCGCAGGCCGCCAGTTGTAGACTATAACGGTGCAAGCAGGATGAATTTGTATCAATAAGTATTTCAAGGTAGTAAGTAATATAAGCTAAAATACACATGATATATATTGCACATAATTAACATATATTACACAGGTTGTGTGACAGGTTATTGCATAGGTAGTGACATTGATGAATTATGGTAATGTAGATACAGACATGATACAGCCACATAGTGCAGCAGCAATAAACATATTAGCTGTCACAGATAATATTAGTCATATTAGCTGTCACAGATAATATTAGTCACGTTAGGTGTCACAGATTTGGCTTGGTGCAGTGTTATTGCACCATTAATATAATAAAAATAAAAACTAATATATAAAAAATGTCTGTGTATAAAAGTCAATAAAAAAGGAAGTTTAAAGGACCAAAACACTAGCGCTGAACGCCAAACTTAAATACTGGAAATAGCTATGAACCTATTTGAGCATGTGGTGCATGATTTTACACATGCACATTAATAACTGTAAAAACATCACTTGGCTTTTGTACAATTACTAATGTGCATGTGTCCAGGCACCTCATGCTTTCATAGTATCAGAGCTATTTCTGTTCAGCTTTAGTCTGTTGGTCCTTTACATCTGAGTTTTATTGACTTTTATACGCAGACATATTTATGAGTTAGTTTTATTAATGTTTTAGGTTGTGATAATGTTTTTCCAGGTGTCTGAATGACTGCAGCGCGTGAAAAATATATGACCACTGTTTTGACTCAAGTAGTAGGAAGTAGGCATGAAACTATCCAGACCATAAAGCATTGCCAAATAGTGGTGGGCGGATCGATGCAAATATAGATAATATAGATACCAACATGGGTATTGATACTGATCAATACCAGTAATGATATCAATACCTTATCTTCAGTTTCTCTGTGTGCACGGCTGCAGTTTCATCAAACTGACGGTGTACGTGTCGCTCCTGTCACAGCACAGAGCAGCAGGACCCACAGAGAGGCTGCTGGGAATATTTATTTGAACTCAAGGCTTTGGAGGTTGTTTTATTATTTACACTTTATTTATTGTATTTTCACTAATTATTTTTTATTTGTAATTATTTTTTCAAACCCAGAAAAGAAATTCACTGAGGATATAAAGGAATTAAAAAAAAAAATCCTCCTAAATATATTTTACTGTTATATAACATTTGTTGCTGTGTGATAACTTTGTACAGTTTGTTTATTTAATAAAAATAAGATCCAGAAAATGAGCACAATGAAGGGATTTTTATTTAATTATCATAATTTCGCAACATAATGTTTTAATTTATTATTGCGTGATCATTTTGTGCTCTTTGTTTAAGGAAAAAATCCAGCCATCACAAGGTTTGGGGAAAATAGTTTTGTTACTGTTCTATTTTTTTCAGAAAAAAAAAACCCTTTTTTTTATAATAAAGTATTTTTTATTTACTTATAAACTTTGCCTAATTCTATCCTGGGTTTTAACTAATAAATGATCCAAAGGAAAAATCACAAAACACTTAAACGTCATCAAAATTCACTGTAATTATTTAAAAGTATCGTATCGGTATCTGCTATACTGGACCAGTATTTACTTGGTATCGATCGATACCAATCGCAAACTGGTTTGTTCCACTTTGGAGTAAGATGTTGGGGCAAGAATCAGTTTTGTTGTGTTTCCTTGACTGATGAAGCCTTCTGGATCGAAGGTGAAACATTTCAGCACAAAAAAAGGAACTGTCCAGATGACCTGACCGAAAAATTTTGGATTGTATACCTGGATTATTGAGCATGGACTTTGATGTCAATCGCAAACTACTTTTTTTTTTTCCAAATCTTTATTTAGAACTTTACTTCAAATACAACAATCTAAAAAATACACAATAACATTGAACATATCAAAAAAGAAGAAAAAAGGAAGCAAACAATAATATAAATAAAAAATTAATACAAAGATAAATAAATGCGAGTTACAAAGTTAAGCTGTATTAATTACAGATACTTTTTGTTTTTATATCCTTTTTGTTATTTGAGTCTGAGACCGAGTCAAGATACAGTTTTACATCCAATACAAATAGATCAAAAAAATGTTTCCTGCGCGTTATTTTACTTTTATAGATATGGAACTTAGTAAGAAACAAGATCAGATTGATAATAAATATGATGGAGGAGTCTTTCGTCTTGAAATCTAGTAGGATACCAAACAGAACATTTTCAAAATGGAGAGGGAAACCTGGTTGGCCAGTACTGACTTGGAGCATGCGCATTAGTAACTGTAAAAAGGCTTAATCGTTTTGGTCAATAAATTTAAAGCGACAGTACAATATTTACCATCTGGCGGCTTCAGCATTACAGTGTAAACATGTTTTGATGATGTTTATTCGCCACGTCTTTATAACAAACTAACTCTTCCAGACACTGTTCACGTGCAAACCGGGCCTGAAGGTTAATAAAAACTTTCTACAGAACCCCGCTTCAAAAGCGCCGAACTGTCCCTTTATCGTAAACGCTGACAAAACGCTGTGGCGGCATGTTGAAGGCTCCCTCCTCTTCCTCCTCGCTGCAGACAAATAGGCGGAGTTTGACACACTTGAAGAAGCAGCGTGCGTGCGCGTGTGAGTCCGTGAAGGGGTTCAGCATGGGGACGAGTTCAGCCGCGAGTCGCGGGACCGAAGTGAGGAGCTGTTAGCCTCCGGACCAGCTCCGGATGGGAGGGCATGACCGCGGCCGGCGCCAGCATGTCGGTGCAAAGTTTGTGTAAAGTGGAGAAACACGGCGGCTGTCGGATGGTGAGTGAGTGAGGGTGCTGTGTGGCTGTGGCTGTGGCGCACAGTTCGAGCTCCAGACGGAGCTGCTGCTGTCAGGCTCCGAACAAAGAGCTGCGAGGAACGCGTGGTGCGTTCACGGCACGTCCAGATGGTTAAACTCACCGTCATCACACGCGCTCCTAACACTGATTATTAAGGAAGTTAATGTTGTTGGATGGTAAATTGACAACTGTTTACGGTGGCACAATGTTTGTACATAAACATTTACTCGCTGTATGCAGCTTCACTGCACAGTCTGTGAAAAGTGGCAAGAAACACTTTTTAATCCAGTAATAACATTTTTAACACTAGGTGGTCAGTCAGCACTCATCAAAGCTCATACATGTTTACATTTTGACACCCCATAATTAAATTTACAAGTTTTACTTCAACTTTTGAGCCTTTTTTTGTGCAAATGTGCAAATTTAATCTACTGAGTTAGCACAGTTTTATGATCTATGTTAGGGGTGCACCGATAAATCGATTTATCGGCCCCAATTTCCTTAATTTTGTGAAATCAGAAATCAGCCGATGCGCGAGAAACTGATTTTACCCATTTTTTTTTTGGTAGTTTTAATAATTGTCTGAACTGCATTTATATTTCAGAGCACTACCTCATGGCCAGTTAAAGTTTGTATTGTTCTAGGATATTGTTCAAGGGTATGTTCTTCAATAAAATAATATTGGAAAATTAAAGGTTCATTGTGACGTTGTAACACCTGACAGTGTCGCTTATAAAACAGAATCGGTATTGGCCAAAATTGGAATCGACAGGTCAGACTTTTTAGATATTGGTGATGGTTGATCGTCCAGAAAACTACAATCTAAATTATACTATATGGAAAGGCCTCCTCTAAAATAAACATGTGTTCATTGTTTACGTTTCAAATCGTGAGGAAGAAAAAACTTTATCGAAGTTGATGTTTATTTTAAATATTGCTCAGTTTCATGTCAATTGTTGTGGTGAAATAATCCAAGTAAAAACTTTTTCAGTCTATTTCTATTCCCAACATTCAAATCTCATTAAATTAAAACGTACACGTCTTTATTCATAGATTTGTCTGTACTTGTCTGCTAAACAATGAAAGCTGCATTAGTCTTAATAACTTTTACAAATAGTGTGAAAGTAGCGCCTAAACGTGATCGTTGCGGTGACCTTATGGAAAACTGTTCATGCAACTTTTAGAAAAGTAGATTTTTACAAAATGTATTAGAGTTGGAGTTCAGATTTTCCCCCTTACCTTACCAGAACTGAAAATACTCAAGTAAAATGCCTTTCATACATTTTAAAGCCAGTTTACTTGATTTTCTTGTTTCGCTACTCACGCTGCAGTCTGTACTGGTTGACGTTGCTCATGAAGTTTACAAAATCTCTGAATGAGTCCAGCAACAGGCAATTAATATAATAAATAATAAACAAATAATAACACCCTAAAGAGAAACTGAAAGGCCGGTGTAATGTTTTCTTAATGTCTGTTTTGGTGCTCGTTCAGTGACTCAACACCTGACCCACTTTTTGAAATTACACTCTTACGCAACTCGACTTACTGTATTTAACTTTAAATAGTAGCAGCCAAAATTATATGAATTACAAATGTTTTGCCAAAGCAAAACATAATGACAGTAAGTTATCTTTATTTCCTTATCATAAGGATCCCATCGTTGGTATTTACCAGACAACACATTCTATCTGCTCATGTGTTTTATAAAGAAATGAGCAGATTTATGAAATTATGACCGTATAATGCAGTTTTGGTCTCATACTGTATGTACAGTGATTGCTGTTATTAGTAAATACAAATATAGTCCTGTAAAAGATGCTGAGTTTTATTTTATTGTCTCAAAAGCTCAATATTTTCTTTAAAAATGACCTCACATTGAAATAGAAAATCTTGTCCACGAAGCTAAACTGTTCCAGCCTCCAGGCTGCAGAAGCATCAGCTGATGGTAATGTATGATAAGTTCGGAACTTTACTTATCTAATCAGAGTAATCAGTTCAAGTATTCGTTTGGAGCTGCTTTTTATTGGCAGTGACATGGAGGAGTAAGAACGCAGGACGTTTGTGCAACCAGAAAGTCGTCGTCCTCTTTCTGTATCAGGTCCAACATCCCTCGCACCTGAACTCGGTCACCTTCAGTCCTGAGAGGACGGCGTTCCGCCAGAGACCAGCGACTCGTAGGAAACCACAGAAACGCTGGATTGAATCAGAACCAGCTCCCATAAATGAATAAAAATGTTTATTTTTCTTACAACGAGACCTCGAGACGTTCAAATCCTAAATGATCTCTGTTAAATAATCGCCTAATCTGTTCTTTGTTTGTTCCTCTGGATTGTGTCGTCGTGCTTTTCCTCGTTCTGTTGGCTGAAAGTGACATTCCAGATTTGTTCCTCAACGAGCCATTGTGCAGCAGATATTAGTAGGTTAGAGGTCGCAGATGATGTAACGTTTTCATGACTTGCTTCCTGAAACTCTTTTTAACCCTTACCAAACGTGCCCGTCTGTGTGCACCAAAACATCTGACCTCACACTGAAGTTAAACTGACTGGCTTTGTAACTTTTCTACAAACAGACGACGATCATCACATTAACACCGTCTTTCTAACGATGTTCTACTTGACCAGAGCTGGTGAATGGACACGCTATGTTCTTTATGGTTATTGAGGAGCGTTATCTCCCACCAACTCTGATGGATCGTTATATTACTCAAGTCATTTCAGAGCATCTGCATAATTATCGTCGTTTAATCCCATTCAGCAGTGGACCAGCAGACACTGGTAGTGTTCATGGATTATTGATTTTGTCTTGGACCAGCTTTTCTATGAGATAATAAACATGGCAGAAGTATTTTATTTCTCTGATCTCATTGAGGTTATCTATTGAGGATAGGCCTGTTGCGATAAACAATAAATCAATTAATCGCATGATAAATGAAAATGATCAACCTCATTCTCATTTATCAGCTTTATCGTTTCTTCGTGTCTCTTTCTACTGAAGACACTGGATGACAAAAGGCTCAACTCCGGTGCTCTTCACTGACTTCACTGTTTAAACCGTCCAAAATCACGTTTTTCGGTCGTTAAAAGCAGCTAAGTTGAGAAGCTAAGCTACAAGCTAAGCTAACAGGCCGACCTCAAGGGAAAAAAACCCTCCGTCTTGTCGAAGCTCCAAAATTCACAGTTGAAACCCGTGCCTTCGTGTAAAAATGTTGTTTATCTCTGCAAAAAGAAGCTGAGAACTTGTTTACTGATTTTTTAATTAAAATTTTTATGTGACAAATGCTATGCTAAAGAGCTCACACCACACGAGTGTCCGCCATTTTGAGAACCGAAAAAAAAGAAAAGCGAGACCACCCATGTCACGTCAAGGGGCCTCCCTCCCATTTTTCTTAAAGAGACACGCTGCTCGCTCCCTCACTGTCCATCCTTTTGTTCAAACAGCATTTTACTGCCATCCAGTGGTCAAAAAAGATTCTACACACAAAAATGAACCAACATTTCTTCTTAAATTTGACAACAATTACTAATTATTGTCAAATTTCAAACAATATTATCATTTATCGCAATAATTTCTGAGACAATTAATCGCCCACTAAAATTTGTGATCGTGACAGGCCTAAATGAGGATACTGAGACTTCAAACTGTTTTTGTTTCTTCTGCTTTTCTTTGGATGAGGCACATTCTTTGGCCTCCAAGTCAGAAAGAATTCAAAGTTTGACTGCATGAGCAGCTGTGGGAAGCAGCAGGGAGCCAGAGGAGACGTTGCTGGAAATGAAAGATGTGCTCCTTGTTGCTGTTTTCTCTCCTCGTCTCTGTGCGCCTGCTGAGAGAGGATCCACGATGACCCGCTGGAGGGAATACCAATAAGCATCGCAGACCTCTTCCCCTCTGTGGTTTTGTTCTTTACTGAAGGGAGTTTTGTTCTGTCCCACGAGCAATGCCAGTTCAACTGCGTCGTGTATTTGCATGTACTGGCCAGCCAGAGGCAGCGGCACCGTGTTTAATACGTGCCGTGTTAACATCAAGGCCTTGTTGTCCGGATCAAGTTTCTTCAGCTCACTGTAAATACCTGCGCCTGTGTTTGCATGAGTCTGTGTGATTCTGCATGACCTGACCTTGTGGCTTTTTGAAGAGATCACAGCTGCGATTGTGCGTACCGAGAACCTGCACTTCCTCGTCATGGGAACAACGTGCTCGGTTCATTCGCATAAGAAAATGTCTTCTGTTTCAATACGTTTCCCCTGAAAAGGGAGCGAAACAAGTTTATTCAGATAAGCACCAGTTTCTGTGGGTTTTGTGGAGCTGAACCAGTATTTTAGTTTCTCCCAGTGTGTGTTGTAAACTCTCTGCACAACTCCCAGTTTTACATAATTTGAGTGTCTCGTCTCGTCCAGGATGTTGAGCTGAATCGATGCTCGGCTTGTATCTTAGCATGCTGCAGGAGAATCATGAGGTCTGATTTTGCATCAAGAAAATTGAATCTCCTACTAACATCATTGATCCAAGAGACGGAGCGCACGGCCGTGCAAGATGAGCAGCACCTGCAGCTTTTATTGACTCCTCTGACTCTGCTGCTCAATCGCTGCTCAGATTTAGGTGGATGTTTATTTTTTTATTTTAAGTCAGCAGTATTTTTATTTTCTTTCTGTCTCTCGCAGACTTTGCTGACACCTTTTATATAAAAGGTGAATCATACAGATGTGGGTGTACATCTGGGGTTTGATTCTCAAAGACAGCATGACGAGGACTTCAGTCAGAGAAAGCAAGCACCGAAACTTTTACATTTGTAGTAGAAATGTCTCAAAGGGAAAGTCAGGTTCTATCGAAAGTTTGAGAACAATCAATATCTTACCTGTTGTAGGTAGCTCTTTAAACAACCTCAGTTTTGGTGGGTATGTCTCAGGGAACCAGTTCAGTCTTTAAACCCTTTTCATGTTTTATGTTCAGCTTTTTTAAATTAGTTTTGACACTGCTGGTATTGTA